TGGTATGTATGAATTCATCTTGAAATTCCAACATATATTGTACGTTACATATCATGTAGATTTAATAAAAATTGATCAAAATTTAATAATTCATATGAAGATAATCATTGAATTTGTTATGATATAATTAAAACAATTATTAATAAAATGAATAATCAAATAACATAATTTGATTAAAATATTCTTCAGGAATATAGATTATTAAAAATAAATTTTGATATGATTGAAAATTAAAATGAAAAAGAAAAAGATATATTTTTTATTCCCTAGACTGAAAGGCTAGGGTCTAGAAACCGAAATTCACCTGTGTCTGTCTGTCTGTCTGTCGGTAACGCGGTCAAAATGGCCATTTTTTTGGCACAAACGGCCATTTTTTTACTAAAATTAACTAGGTAACTATGGTACAAATGAGCATGTAACTATGGCACAAACGGTCATTTTTTTGGTACAAACGACCACGTAACTATGGCACAGGTGACCATATAGCAACCATGGTACAAATGACCAAATACTAATTATGGTCAAAATGGCCGTTGTAACTATGGTACAAATGACCATTTGGTTCAAATGCCCACAGTAACTGTGGTACAATTGCCCATAGTAACAATGGTACAAATGGCCAAATAATAACTATGGTCAAAATCGCCATAGTGATCGTGGTAATAGTGATGATAGTAACACCATGATCAAAAAATCGACTTGGTAATTATAACACAAATGATCATACGATAATAAAAATTTATTCTTGTTAATAATGTGATATATAAATAAACGAAATAAAATTCTTTTTTTTTTGTGCAAACAGCGCCAATACATAAATAAAAATTATAAAAATACACTAATATTTATTATTTGAAAGATGAACAACGATATGAATGCAAACAAATCGTCGCATAAACGTGGTTTCTTCTTCGATACCCGAGAGGAACGATTACAACAGCTGGAGATGATCTTAAGTATATAATGTAATCTCAGAGGATAAAAATTATGAGTAAAATTTTATTAAGTCAGTAACTTTTTCGAAAAGCTATTTGATTATCCCTTTTGATCAACTTACTGATATGCTTGAAACTTGTTACAAGTTTATGAAAAAGTATCTTTGCTGGAAGCTTAAACTTGACATGAAGTGTTGTACAATTTCTGGCGAAACTTTCACGGAAGAATATATCCAAGAAAAAATGGATGTATCTTATGCTTATTTTGCAGCTGATTGGAAATGCATCCATTAGAGTGAGAATTCTCCAAATTAAGTTTTCTGGTCGCCTAAGATATACTGGTCATATTATCAATTTTTGCGTATTACTTTTTTATGTAGCTTTTTATGCTGTTACATACGTACATGCATTCTATCAGTCTAGGGCTAAGTGAATCGCTTGACGATGAACGTTACTTGTTTAATTGATTATTACGAAAATAATTGTTTTGAATGAAAAACTTTTTTTTGTTTAGAAATACTTGTATGTATGTTTTTGTTCAAATAGAGATTAGTTCGTTCGTTTTGAAAATGAAAAACAAATTTTTTTATATTAACGATTTTTATTGTAGATTTCACATGAGTCTTTCTCCATTTCTGGAATCCCTTTTGGAGTTATACCACCAAGATTGTGTATCGAACCTCCACAAAATTATTGTTGCTTGTCACTATGTTTTTTTGAAAAGTGGTTATTTAATAACAAATCATTTGGGTGTAAAAAGTATGTCTTTGGGACTTTTGTTATTTTTTCTTATCTTTATAGCAAAAAACAGAAATTATTTACCGGCAAAAGACACCAAATGGTCGACTTATGTTAAATTATAGTGATAATACAAATACTTTCACAGTACATTATTACATGGAACACAACGAGTTTGTTAATGTTTACTTTGAAGTAAGTTATATTAATATTTACTAAAATGCAATTTTGTATTTTTTAATTTAAGCGTGGTGCAGATTTTTTCACGTATAAAATACGTCTTGCTACTTATGTTCAAAATCAGTAAGTTAAAAGGCCGCGTTTTATTTCGATTAATTTCTTTTTTGTTTTTTAGTGTACTACATGCACTACCTGATTTCGAAGAAAGATTACAAAGAAAAATCAGCTACTTTACAAATAGTTTACATTAAAGTAATCAAGCAAATGTTGTACAACAACAAAACTCGACGATTAAAACTGCAACAACATTTTTTTTACTTTGATATATAAGAAACTATTAGTACAAGAAAATAACTGATGAATCACTTGAACAAAAAAGGTGATAAAATAAAAAGAAATTGAATAACATCGCTAATTTCATTTTTTTTTGTCTTATTTATTCCGGACCATTCAAATTTAAGAAACATTCAAGAAATGATGCAAATCTATATAGAAATCATTTCAAGAAACTAATGTGCTTCGGCAGCAAATCTCTTCAAAAAATGAAATTAGTTTTTTGTTTTTTTCAAAACATTATGTTATAAAAAAAAACATTTTCTACCCTACGCAGTACTATCAAAACACTTCGGTTATAGTGTTTAGGCTAAAGCGTTTAATAAAAACCGTTTTTTATTAAACAAATACATTTGTTACATTCCCCTCACCCATATTAGTAGTAATTACTGCATATAGACTTTTCTAGATTCGTTGTTTATAATGCTCGTGAGAATCGCTGAAAGCAACATTCACAGTTCTTTTTGAACAAAGAATGCTTTTACGTGTTGGCTTAGGATCTTCCTATCAAAAGTTTCTCAAAGCAATATTTAAAAAAATAGTTGCTTTGAGCTGACAGTAAGCATCTTATAGGAACTCCTCTTTCCAACCGAAACCTCAATTTTTTCGATTTTGATTTTTTCTGATAAATAAATGAACAATGAATAATGTAGTCACAATATACTATAAGTGATACTTATGTCTATTCAAATCGGTAAAAAAAGCAGTTCTCATCTTCTACTGACAAACAACATTCCAGTGTATATTCGGATACTATAGTTCATGCTTAAAAAGTGAAGTTTTTATTGAAAATCTAAAAACAATATTGGCAGGTGAACACTCAATTTAAA